GTTATCCATTCCTCAGTTGATGGACACCTAGGTTGTTTCCATCTTTTGGCTATTGTAAATAGTGCTGCGATGAACATGGGTGTGCATATATCAGTTCTTGTCATGGCTCTCACTTCTTCAGGGTATATACCTAGTAACAGAATGGCTGGGTCAAATGGTATTTCTAATTCCAACTTTTGAAGGAATCACCATACTGCTTTCCACAATGGTTGATCCATTTTACAGTCCCACAAACAGTGTATAAGAGTCCCAATCTCTCCACAACCTCACCAACATTTGTTATTTTCTCTCTTATTGAACTTTGCTACTAGTGCTGGAGCAAGATGGTACCTCATTGTTGTTTTGATTTGCCTCTCTCTAATAACTAATGATCATGAGCACTTCTTCATATGTTTGTTGGCCACTTGAATATCCTCCTTGGTGAAGTGTCTATTCATGTCTTCTGCCCATTTCTTAATTGGATTGTTTGTCTTTTTGTTATTGAGGTGTTGGAGTTTTCTACAAATTCTAGAGATAAGTTCCTTGTCAGATATGTTGTTACCAAATATTTTTTCCCAATCTGTAGGTTCTCTCTTGACTCTTTTAGAGAAGTCTTTGGAAGCACCTAAAAATTTAATTTTTAGAAGGTCCCAGTCATCTGGTTTCTCTTCTGCTGTTTGTGCATTTTGAAGTATGGTTGATAGTCTATTTATGCCATATATTAGGACCCTTTAATTTGCCCCTAAATTTTTCTTGAGGAACTGTATAATTTTAGGTTTCACATTTAGGTCTTTGAACCATCTGCAGTTCGTTTTTGTGTATGGTGTGAGCTACAGATCTTGTTTCATTTTTATGCAAATGGATCTCCAGTTTTGCCAGCACCATTTATTAAAACAAACATTCTCTTCCCCATTTAATGGATTTTTGGGCCTTTGTCAATGATCAGCTGACTACAGGTCGATGGATCTATTTCTGGGTTCTCAATTCTATTCCATTTGTCTATGTATCTGTCATTAAACCATTACCAAGCAGTAACTGATTGATTTTTAACCATAAAAATTCAGGGACTAAAAGGTAGAAACAACCCAAGTGTCCATCAACAGATGAATGGATAAACAAAATGCTTACAATGGAGTATAATCCGATTATAAAGAGAAATGAAGTTCTGAAAAATACCATGTGGATGAACCTTGAAAATGTTATTCTGAATGAAATGAACCAAGCACAAAAAGACAAATATTGTATGATTTCACTTACATGAAATATCTAGAATACGCAAATGCATAAGATAAAAGTTTATTAGTGGTTGCCAGTAGCTGAAAATGCAGAAAAACCAGTATCTTAATAGAAAGAGGAGTGTTGAAAGAAAAAAAAAAAATTCAGAGCCTTCTAGTTAAAAATGGCAGATTGAATACTTTCATTTATATCTGCTCACTTCCAAATGTAACAAAAATTACAATAAAGGAATAAGAGAGGCCTAAACTCACCAGGAAAAAATATATATATAAAACTTCAATAGATAAAAAATCATGTAAACAAAATTTTGGAAGCTGGAGAGTTAACAGCTGAGTGGTATCTAACTTAGCAAACCAGAGAAAGCTAAAACTAAAGTCAGGGCAAGGAAGCTGTAGTAGAACCCTGGAAAGGCTCAGTAATGGAAGGTATTTCTGATGGCAAGGGTTTGTAGTATGGCTGAAAATCAGAGAACTAAATGCAAGATGTTATAGGAAGCTGTTAAAACCACTGATGTCCTCTTCCATCAAAACGCTTGGTGATATTTCCCCTACCTGGAGACAAAAAAAAAAAAAAAGAGCTTTCCTGTGTAGATATACTGAATAGGACAGACTCTGGATTTTAGGTATACCAGACCTACAAAAGGTGAGATTGAAGCAACATAGAAGTAAGGGAATTAAGTGGAAGTTCTCATATTAAAATGTGAGGAAACACCCACTCCTCCATCTCCTTTCTTTACTTGCTTCCTTCCCATAAAGCTTGTACCCTGGCTTATACCCTTCCTTAAAAGTAAAATTTAGAAATTGGGAGAAACTAATTAGCCCCAAAGAAAAGACTACAGTCCTTGAAATTGAAAATCTCTAACAAAACACCCATTAGAAGGCAAGATGAAGTGTGTGTGTGTATGTGTGTGTGTGTGTGCTGGGGTAAGAGTGAGGGTAGGAGAACAAGAAAGGGGTTAGGTAGTGAAGGAGATTTAAATTCTTTTCTGATTTTCAAGTCAATATGAAATATCTAAAGCTGAAAAGTCAAGCATTTGTAGTGTGAAGATGTTACTCAGAAAAATAAGAATTGAATACCAGAATACCCAAGCAAAAAGAGTTCAAAGTGGTTGCTTCTGGGTAGTGGAAACAGGGGATTGGGAAGTATAGGAGACTTTTGCTTTGGGTTACATATTTAGCAGCATTAAAAAAACATAATTTAAATGTATTCTTTGAGAAAAACAGAAATTGCATTTTCAAAAAGACATTAAGAAAAATCAAACAACAGAGAACAATCATGGGAGAAAGAAGGGCTGCTTATGCACAGGGAGACAGCTCAGGGGGCAGGAGTGTAGGGAGGGGTGGACACTGGGAAGAGATAACTATGGGGAGGAAGTGGGAGGGGAGCTGTTGCATTGTGGTAAACTGTGGTCAATGACATGAGACAAAGTACATGTGAACTGCAGTGTTGAAAGTGAATTTGCTCTGTAAATCTTCACCCAAATCACAATTAAAAAAAAAAAAGAAAAATCAAACAACAGTCAATGAATAAATTAGTAAATAAATGTCAACTGTGCAGAGTCAACAACACTATTCTCCCCTAAACTCTACTTTACTTCTCCTTTCCATCATCTGGGTCAAATGGTCCATTGTCACACAGCTACTGCTGATTTGTGAAGGTTGAAATGTCATTTATGTCTTGCTCACTTTAGGAAGGAGAGTTAAGTTTAGGTCAAGGAACTCCAGGATCCACTCTTTCCCACCTCTCCAGACCTTGCCAGCCATGTTGGAAGCATTCCCTCTGGTTCTAGTCTAGCCTTCTTATGACTGTAATCCTGCCAACATCTTGATCCCAACTTCATGAGAGAACTGAACGAGAATACCTAGCCAAGCCACTTTCTATGAGATACTATGAGAAAATAAATGTTTGTTGTTTCTTAAGCCATTAAGCCTTGAGGTTATTTGTTACTCAGTAA